AGGTGGGAGGCGGCGGCGGCGGGCGGGGGCCGAGCCCCGCGATCTGTCGGCCGGGCCAGCGGCAGCGGCCGGGAGTTATTTATGACCCGCGGCGGCTCCTGCGCTGCGATGTCGCCAGCCTGGGCTCCGGGGGGCCCGGCCAGACAGCGCTGACCTCTGGCAGCTCCTCCCGCTTCCTTCCGGGCTGCTGCCGGCTCCCGCGAGCTGCCCCGGCCCGGGGCGCTGGGGCGGCTGCGGGGAGGGAGAAGGTGGCTCTTGGCAGGCAGGGGCAGGGGCAGGGGCAGGGGCAGGGGCTCGGGCTGCGCTGGCAGATGGTTAACGTGGGGCAGGAGGCGGAGGAGGGTGAAGCCAGCTGTCCTGGCCAGGGCTGGTGCTGCTCCCGGCCGCACATGGCTGCGGGCACTCACCCCCCCGGGCCGCATCCTCCGAGGCGGGGAGGAAACAACCCCCCTCGCCTCCCCCCACCTCCCTCGAGATAAGGATCATTTGCATGTTTAAATCACTTCGCACTCGCGCAGCGGGCTTGGACCGGAAAGTTTGCGCCGTCAGATCTCGGAAGCAGCAGAGTGCGTGTGCACATGTGTGTGTGCGTGCGCATGTACGTGTATCCATGTGTGCATGTGTCTGTGTATGTGTGTATACGGGTGCATAGGTACCGGTGTATATATTTGCGTATACACGAGTGTACGTATATATATATATATGTATGTGTCTCCATGTACACGTGCCTATGCATGAGTATATGTGTGTATTAGTGTATTTATGTGTGTATGTATATGTATGTGTGCATGTGTACCTGTGTATATATTTGCGTATACATGTGAGTATATGTATGTGTCTGTGTGTATATATATATGTATGTGTGAGTGTCTGTGTACATGTGCCTATACATGAGTATTTGTGTGTATGCATGTGTGTATTTGCAGATATGTGTGCGTGCATGTGAATGTGTGTATGTGTATATATGTGTGCACATGCATGCACATGTGTATGTGTGTATATATGTGTGTATATGCAGGTGCATATATGTGTGTATGCATGTGTGTATGTATATGTATGTGTATGCATGTGTGTGTGTGTGCATGCAAGCACATTTGCTTTGGTTTAGTTTAAATCCAGCAGAAGGAAAGAGGCTGCAAAACTGAGGAAGTGCTTGCTTGATAAGGTTAAGCAATAAGCATCTTGTCTCATCTGGTATCTGTCAGGTTTTGGATCTATCCTGATCATGTCCATATGCCAGTATTTATCTATCCTTTTTCTGTAGGCAACCCCTTGCCCATATCACTAGGCAAAGCCAAGTGTGTATATGTGTGCACGCACGCATGCCCTTCCCTCAACTTTAATAATATGCTGCGTTGCTTTGAGTTTGGAGGTTGGGCTTTCTCCTGAGATGCATGTGGTTGTCATATCCAGGCTCACACCTGTGTTAAGAGGTAGTTTGCAACCAGGTGAGCAAAGGCGAGTTAAACAGAAGATGTGAAGCTTGCAGGGGAAATTTCCTCAAAGGCAGAACTAATGCTTGGGTGTCTCCTGTCATAAAACAGTTTATTCCGGGAGGCCCTAACCCCACTCCATTCTGCTGCAAGTCCCTTCAGAATTACACCAGGTTGTTTTAACATCACTGATATAATTCTCCTACTTCCCATTATGTGTAATACCAGAAGCTTCAAGATATTTTTTTTCATGACTGATTACCAGATGGAAATGATGGGCAGTGGCATCTGCAACCCCACTCCCCAGATGAACCAAGATGCTTTCATTTGCAAACAAGAACAGTGCTTTTATCCTTTCAGGGTGTCTCTGTTTTCAGGTCAGCACAGGTGTTAAGACTGGTGTGTTTTCTATTAGCTGTGGCAATGGCAGAGCAAGCATATAGTATTTGATTTTGGTTGGGCTTGCAAAGCACTTTTTATTTAAGAAAGTCAGAGTCATGGAGCAGCCTATTAAATACACCCAGCAAGATCTTTAGAACTTGGAGGCCTCCTTCAAGTGCTAGTAACTTCAAGTATATCCTAGATGAAATCTGAAAGCATTATTCTCTCCCATAGAGTTGGCATTGGGGTGTGGTTTTGGTTCGCTTTTAATTAACTCTTACTGAGGCAAAATACCACCTGTTAATCTGTTAGTTTCTCTCTTTGTAATTCCTGAATATTGGCAAAATCATGTTTAGTGTTTGAAATGATCTCCTGAATAAAACAAAGGGGCAAAAAGCTATTTTTGAGCTTACTTCAAAGCTTTGCATTAAAACTAGTCAAAAAAAGGTTATGATATTTTTGCAAAGAATCATGAACATTTAGTCTCTTCCCTTCCATCAGAATTCTAAATGTCAACAAAAATCTAATCAAAATGGGAAATTAATATGTTCAGTTCTGTGCAGTTGTTATTCTTTCTTCTTTTCTTTCTTCTTGAAGCAATGGGTATGGAAATGAATAATGTCTCCAGCTGAGTGCTTGCTTCTGGCCTAAAGCCCACTGCTAAAGATGGACCCAAGGCAGGCTCCTCTATCATTGCTTTTATACAGTTTCTATTTTCTTATGTGTATGCCTTGGCTCATCGTTGAGTGAGCCAGCCCTTTTGGTTTAATTCCATCACCACATTTTTTTTCTGGTTCACATAAAATCACAGGCATTAGAGAGAGGAAAAAAACCAACTGGGGTCATGTTTGTCAATCCCCAAGGGACCATCACAAGATTGCTTGCAGCAATATATTTTCAGATGCTCTGTCGAACCTAGTTTCAAATATCTTGGGCGACTGGATTCCACCCCAACTGTCAGCTCAGATTTGGAGGTGGAATAAAGAGGATGTAGTTTGTTCTGCCTTAGTGGCTGGAGCATGAATTATTTTACCCTTTACCCCTGTCTTTTCTTTGTTTCTGTAGCTTTAAACCCACCTGCCTTAGTGGCATTGGAACCAGCATCGTCTCAGAGTCAGAAGGTCCTTCAGGACTCATCAAGGCCATTCCTTGGCTGGGTTTGGCATGGGGTGGCTGAAAAAGTCAGAGTGTCCTCAGGTGACACTGCCAAACCTTGTACAGGACTAGTAGCCCAGAGTTTGTACTGTCCCATCATCACAGAAAGGAAACAGGCTGGTTATGAAAAAGAGAGAGCTTTTGTTTGCACAGAGATCTAGCGACAATCAGTAATGATGGCAAAACCAAAGACTGCTGGGGCAAAGCTTTGTTCATATTTGCCTGGATATGAACTAGAGGCTATTATGTTAAAGTGGAACCTGCTCCCAACATTGCTCTGAAATGGCCCAAAGTTGGTGACCTTCCAGGCATGCTACAAAAAGATATCTGTTGGACACGGCTTATGGAAAAGTCTAATGTTAGGTTCTTACAGTAATGAAGGGGTATAAAAGAGGATCTGTAGGTGTCTGGCTGGCTGAGTGCCCATTAAAATTATTCCATTCATGCTGCTGGGATCCTATTGTATTGCTAACAATAGTTAGGGTGCCTACAGCCTTGGATAGGCATATTTTTAATTACCTTGAATCTAATAAATAAAGTGGGAACTGGCAGGGTTGAAACTGGTTAGGACAGGGAGCAAGGAGCTATAAGCACTCTATCCACCCTATTCTGGGCAGACTCAGAGGAAGGTTCTCCAAAGAACTCAGCTTCCCTTTAGGCTACATATTCAGATATTTTCTTCATATTGGGGCATGAAGTCTTTTGATAAAAGTCTGGCTAAGACTGTCATCATGGAAGCTGCTGAGTTTTGAGCATTTTGGAAAATGTGGTCACTTATTTAGGGACTGAACTCTCCTGAAAATCTAGTTCCCAGCTGTGGGAGCTTGGTTGGGTTTTTTTTGTCTCTTGCCTCCCCTTACCTGCCCAGAGTTGCTGCTACTGAAGACTGTCTGGTTCACTGATGAAGGGGTGATAGGGGTTTTAAGACCTGGGTTATAGTCCAAGCTCTTGTGCAAATATAGACAAGTTACTGGTATTTCACTACTCTGTGCCTATGTGGACTGGGTGAAATTCTACAGTCTGTATTACATGGTGGGGGTCAAACTAGGTGTGCTAACTGTTCCTTTTAAGCTTCAGATTTGTTTCAGGCTGACTTTTTCTATAGTACTCTAATCTGCAGGCGTGATCAAAGCCAAACTATGTTCTGTGAGAGACTTGTGATGGCAGGAGAGGGAGCTTGGTATTTTGAGAGGGCAGAGTTCTGCTGCTAGAGGGTAGGGGTGCGGTGGAGAAGCTACTGTTTAATGTTAATTTATGATCTTGTATTACGGTTCTGTTGTTTAAAGCTTTGCTTAGGCTGGAACATCCCCTTTTTATAATCATAGAAAACAGTATATATTCAATAAGCAATGAAAAATAAGCCATATGACCATCTCCTACTTTTGTTTCAGCTTGCTATGGAATTGTCCAGGTTCCTACTGGACCCTGGTTCTGTCGAAAATGTGAATCACAAGAGAGAGCCGCCCGGGTGGTGAGTATGAGCCATACTTTGTCCTTATATTACATAGACTATTTTTTTTCTCCTCTGTTTCTTGGGAAAGCAGTGTGTAGTTCCCTGGTGAGGGCTGCAGTGTACAGTTATTCAGGAGAGTCAGGTTCAACTCCAAGCTCTGTTCCTAACCCTGGGCATGACCCTGGGCAAGACATTCTGTCTCCTCACCTTATACTGAGCTGCCTAACTCTCTTGTTCAGTTTCCCTGTTTTCTAGTAAGCAAAATTATATTGACCAACATTTGTGCAGTGCTTTGAGATACAGGGGTGAAAAGTGCTGCACAATCCTTTTTATTAGTAGGTTGGTAGGGGCTGATAATCTTTATCTCTGGCCTCCCAACACCCTCCATAGATTATGGTTAGTCTCTAAAAAGAGACCCCCATATTTCTTTTTCCCTTTCATCACCCCTCCCCCCCAAGGTTAGCAAGTGTGGGATGGGCATGTGCATGCATGGGTGTCTGTGTTCATGTGTGGATGAAGCTGACATAGTTCAGGTAGTGTGTAAGACTATAGAAAGAATTCTAGGCACCTTGCCCTCAATTCAGTTTGAGGCTCAGTAGCAACTTAGCATCCTACAGCACTTTACAAGGGCTCATTAATTTATTCTGGCATCACCCTTGTAAAGCAAAAAAGAAAAAAATCATTAGGCCAGGGGCTGTCTTTTAGGCCTTGCTAAATCACATGGTTTTTAAAATGATTTAATTAAACTGGTATAAAGCCCCCATATAGACACTCTATTTGATTTAAGAGGTTTTTGTTTTGGTTTAGCTTAAACATGTTCCTAGAAGTAGTCTATGTATCAAAACTACCAGCTGAAATTAAATTAGCACAAACCCATCTGAGGACACACTTATATTGGTTTAAAACTAGTTACATCAATTTAGCTTATCCTTGTAAATAGCAACAAGTTAACCAATATAAAGCATATTTAAACCAATTTAAGCATCAACATACAACATTGTATTTGTTTGATGAAATCAGTTTATAATAACACCTCTGTGCAACTTGAGGTGGGGATCAGACCTTACAGACTCAAGGATTTGTTGATATGAGAAAATTGTACTCATTTAACTTTGGAGAGGTGACCCCAGGAATGAATTTACATGGTACTAGTGACTCGGCACTGACTTCTCCTGCAAGCACTCTTACAAGTACATAAACAAGCTAACGCAAGGTAAACCCAGGTTTGACTTTACAGTGCGCAGCTATGTTGTGATAGTCCAAGATAAATGAAAGTGAATATAAGGGGGGCAAGGTATCTCATATTTACTGCTAACACACTGTAATTTTACACCCTGGCTTACCTTGTGTTACCTTGTTCTTGTGGCCTTATCCTAGGAATTAGTTTAAGCTGGAAATAAGAATGTCTGCACAGGAGCTTACGCTGGGTTAATTAAATGCATTAAAAAAACAATTTAACTGCTGTGACTTTTATGTGTAGAGAAGTCCTACACAAACAAATGTCCACACTGACTTTTGGACTGGAGTAACTAAATTTTAAATCACATATTTCATGAACCTAAGTAGATGACCCTTTAATATGTATCTGTATAGCACCTACTACAACAGTGCCCTCAATTCCAAGTGGGGCCTATATAAACTACTGCAATGGAAATAATAACTCTACTTGTTTTACTGATGGATACACGGAAATGAAGTGATTTGGCAAAGGTGAATAAGTGGAAGCATTATGTATAAAAGTTATGCCTCCTGGCTTGCATTAGCTCATACCCCTATTAGAACTGGCAGTACGAACAAGACCAGACTCTCAGACCCCAGGTCTGAGCACTGAGAAATGCTGTTTTCCGTGGTAAGGCAGATGAAATATGCCTCAGGGTGGTTTAACATCATGCAAATTATTTCTTAGCAGAGGGACAGACAGGAATGGTAATTTTGATTTCGTGTCCCTCCTCTGCCCCCAGTGCAGAAGAAAGGAAGCTCTGCTATGTTCGTTACAATTCAAACAATGTCTAAGCTGAAATAATGCATGCACACACAAGTCCTCCTCACCTGTGCTTCTTGCAAGGATTGTAATATTTCAGCAGCAGTATATGCCCTTCAACTCGCCTTCCAGACATCAGGAGGACAAAGGCCCTGCAGGTGGTTCCTCATTTGACTCGCTCTCAGTGAAATCTGTTAGACAATGCGTGGTGGGCTTCAGCAATGCCATTCTGTCGTGTGACATTCCACCATAATAACTGGACAGTGATAATCTTCCTTCCTAGGAAGAGCTGGGGATGGTTTCCTATCCAAATCCTTCACCTTTTGAGTCAGACTCCAGCAGTCATAGCAACAGACGCACAGATGGGTAAATACTTAGAAAGAGTCTAGTCCTTTGATGTAGGAAACAGTATGGTCAGAACAAGGGAACTGAGTCAGCTCTTATGACTTGTATGCCTAGGTCTGAGTCACTTTACCCACTGGAACGCTTGGTGGATAAGTTAGTCTACCAGGACTCAGAGGAAAAGGCTTTGTTACGCTTCTAAGGTGCCACTGCATCTATCCATTGGCTGCCCCGTCTGTAAAAAGAGAAGTATCTGTCTGTGGAAAGTGCTTTTACAGCCTGAGATGAAAAATACTATTCTACCTGTGCAAAGTATTGTTTTCCTAGTGGCAGGATTCATTGGCATTCATATCTCACTGACAGTGGCTGGCACTCTCAGCTGAACTCCACTGAGAAATAAGAGAGTCTAATCGTATATTGTGTTTAATCAGTTTTCTTCATAATACGCTATTTTCCTCATATGCGAATATCAAAGCACTTCACAACATTGATTGACTTCATCAAAAACCTGTATGAGGTAAATATTAATACCGCTGCTTTACAAGGGAACCTCGGCCCAAGGAAATAGTTTGACACTTTCCCAGTGTTTTACAACTAAGGTTACCTGAATCCCACACCTCTGCTTTGTCAGCTAGACTCCACTTCCTCTCTGGGAAGAAAACCCAGAAGTTTCCCAGTCACTGAGTTTAACCACAAGGTTATATAGCCCTGTCCAAGGGAAGAAAAAAACCCAGAAGTCCTACCTTCTGTTTTAATCAACAGGCACTTCTCTTCTTCCAGAGCTAGAAAGAGAACTCAAGAGACTAGACTAGACCATATAGGTTGAATAAAAGGAAGAGGTATTGTTAATCCCTGCTCCTAACCCCCTCCTCAAATGATCAGGTCTCTAAAGGATGCTGTGGACATTATTGTACTTACAGTAAGCAACTGAAAACCCATCCACTTTGTAATCAAATTGTCTAGGAAGCCCAGCGAGCTGCAATGGCCAGAGGGCACTCATGTGAGGGGATCATGTGAAGGCTTTAGCTGTCATTTAGAAGCAGGGCTATTAAAAGTCTTGTGTGGGGCCTACAGAGCTGTTAACCCCTCTTGTTACGATCAGAGCTTTACTAATCGCGTGGTGGGAGAGCTGCTTTGATCTGAGGGGCTGGGGGGAGAGTGGAGGGGCCTTTTCAAGTGCAAATTTCTTAGTACAGTGCTGTAGTTAACCCCGTTGTTCTTCTATCCTGGCTTTGCCATGCTTTCCACAGGAATCCTGGGAACAAACTCTAGTGCCCTAGCAGTCTGGGCCTAGTACACAGCTATGTGGAAATGCAACCTATGGCTATTCATATACCAAATCAGCATCCACTGGCAATGGTATATTTGCAATGGGGACACTGATTGCTGATGGAATTGGCCTGTTTCTTATTTCTAGTTATTTGCTATAATTTCACATGGATTTAGTAAGGACAAAAGCCCTAGCGACTCAGTTTTCCTGTTTGTCTAAAGCACACATACAGTGTAAGCCAGAGCAGCAAGAGCTACCTGTATTTTATTATTTTTACTACAGTAGTGCCTGAGGGTTGAAATCAGAGGTCTGGATCTTCAAGTTGCTAGGTGCTATGCAAACCCGTAACACAAATAATAGTTACGTTGTAGGGGCCAATTCAAAGTGGGTGCAAAACACAAAGCCAACAAGAATGGCAGCAACATGCACCCAGTTGCTGTGGTGCAAAAGCCAATGCTACGTGCATGGTAAGGGCAATGGAGAATCAGGCTTTAGGAGTTTATCTACCAGTATAGCTATCCTGTTACAAACCCCTGGTGCTGACATAGCCTGCGCTGATGCTACATGACTTGCATCTTATTAGAAGCGGGCTAAACTGCCCTGGTGCAGATTGTGTTGTACTAATGTAAACTGTGTCTACACTGTGGCAAAATCCCAATGGAGAAGATACCTCAGGCCTGTTCTAGCGGCAGTACCCCAGGGGGTCGAGAGGAGTTCAGTATTTATGCATGCTTCAACAATGGCAGTTTTTGCTGAGGACTCTAGTACAAGGCAAATTACAAAGTGTTATGATGAATTGTGTAGCTCAGGACATCTGCTCCATAGAGCAGTGAATCACTAGAGCTGGGTAAATACAACAAATGCAAACAAACAAGAATCTCGTATCCATGAATACTCACTGCAGTGCAACCCACTGGTTCATTTTGAGAGCATCCAGAACTAGAGCTGCACAAAAATTTTCTGTTGAAACAGTTTTGTTAAAAAATGGCTTTTTAACAAAATGGACAATTTCCCCAAAGCCGTCTGTTTGCAGGGATATTGTCTGAGTTTTAGTATTTCTGCCAAAGCCCAATAAATTAATCAACAAGAATGAGAGATACTTTTCATTTTCATTTACATTGTAATGAGGAAAAAGAAAATTCTCATCCGGCTTGGTCTGTGACCCCTCTCCACAAACACGAGAGCAAACCAGGAAGACTGTTCCCTATCAGGAAAAGAGTCACCAGCACAAACGAAGGTACCTAAATGTCCAGGCCAGAACCATGTTCATAACCATTTTGAAAGCTCTTTGTGGACCTTGGATCATCCAGCCATGGAGCAGGGAAAGTAACATGTGACCTATGTGTCCAGCCATGTGATACAAATAATCAGATACAAATAGCCAGGGGTAGAAATGAGTGTGGAAAAAGAATGAATACCTGGATTCACCTTTGGTGGGATGCTCAACCAAATGCTGTGTGCCTGCTCGAGCAAATGCTGTGTGCCTGAGGCAGGTTGCATAGTGGAAATGTCATTTACTCCCGTTGTCCTCCCTGGCCATTGCTTTCAGCCCTATGAGGGGGTGCATTGCTGAACAAATCTCTTATCCCTCATGGCTACTTTCCTTACTGTGTGGCAGGGGAGGGGTTTGGGCAGGTCTCCCCTCCCTTTCCAGCCTGACAGCATTTCCTTGACAGCTCTTCTGCTCATGGGGGGTTGCTAATCCCCATCCCCTCATGCTCTCTTTTGCCCCAGTGGCCTCCTCATTAGTGGGATTCCTTTTTCTGCTTTCCTGAAGAGGCAGAGACAGGCAGAGATGTGAAGCTGGCCCAGGAAGTCTGTTAAGTCTGTGGGGAGGATGGAGCTGACAGCTGGGGCTTGTGTCTAGGAGTGGTGTGGAAACAGCTTAGGGCAGAGGCATTATTCTGCTGTCCCCCATGGCAATTCCTCTCACTGAGGCTGGGGCTGTTGAGCCAGCCTCTGCTTTCCTTATAAACTGACCCAGGTTATCACAAGGGCTCAGGGTGGGGAGCTTTCCTCTGCTGCTTTGTTGCACTCAGGGGCCATCCATCCTCTTCCATTTGGGCTGTCCTTTGCCCAAATGCACTGTCCCCAGCAGCCTGGTTCCTCCTTCTTCAGGGATGTACAGCAGACCGGGAAGGCCATCAAAGCAGTTGCAAGGAGGGAATTGGTGGCTGGGGCCCATGTCTGGGAGTGCTGAGTGGATGGCCCAGGCCTCTTTTCTGCTACCCTCTCAGCCCGCCCTTTCATTGTCTGTTGGGCTGGGCTCGGTGCCCCTTGTGACACATTTGTATTACTGCTGGGGCTGGGGTCTTTACGAAGTAGTTCTTCCACTTCTGGGGGGAGGTTTCTCTGTTCCCTTTCCTTTAAGCTCATTTCACTCTAGAGGCCACCCCCATTTTACCATTCCCCCAAGCACAAAGAGTTGTGAAGAGCAGGCCCAGAAGAGAGAGCACAACTCATCCAGGGGTATCCTGGGCTCACCCCCTGAGGTGCCACAATGATCAGCTGGGGGAAAAGAGGGAGAAAGGAGCAGGTGACAGCTACTGGGCCAGTTGCAAATGCAGGGCAGGGCTTGATCTTCTCTTCTGCTGCATCTGGGTTTGAGTCCTATTCTTGACACCACCCTACAAGAAGGGTGAAATTCAGCCCTGTGGTAAGAACATAAAGTGTAAGCATTATTTACAGGGGTGTCGACCCCAAGCACTCAAACCACGAGTCAGACCCTCCAAAATTGTAATATTGCTTTAAAAATCATGATATTATTATTGTTATTGTTGTTATTATTATTAATGATGATGATGATTTGGGCCTCTTGCTTTTTGCTTTCTGAGTTATGTTTTCCAGTTTTTCTTCACTGTCCCAAAAGCTAAGAGCTGATATTGAAAAAAAAACAAACCAAAAAACAATAAACATATATAATCCTCTGACTCCAGAAGGTGGGGCATTAAGGTAGACACCATATCTCAGGATGCTCCTGTTAAAAACAAAGCAAGACAAAGCATGAGTTGGTCATGCTGATGTATTGGAACTAGAACGAAATTCTAGCACAAAAGGGATGATGTGTGTATAACTTCAGCCCAGTGGGAATTGAGTGACATGTTGGCTTTCTACCCAGGGATGAATATAATCAGCAAAAATGCTCAAAGCAATGACTGCTGAGAGCATTTTGCAAATAACGTGCAGCTGGGAAATAGCATCATAACAGCCATTATATTTATACAAATAATTTGTGATAATTCATGAATAGAAAAAGGAGCAAGATTATTTGAATGAATTGTTCTCTGTGGATGGTTTGCATGTCTTTGATCTGGGAGCAACCAAATTCATTTCATATGGCCCACCAAGAAATAACTTGTGATGACTACTGACTGAGGTTGAACTAATAACCAAAAAAGACTGTATCATCTGTGCTATTTTTTTTCTGCCAACCATGTTATCATAGCTGAGGCAGAAGAAAAGTGACCGTGAGTTTAATCCTTAGCCTAAATCCTCAGTATAAATCACCATAGGACTCACCGAAGTCAGCTGGAACCTTACTCATTTACATCAATTGGGGATCTGGTTCCTAATCCTAATGGTTTAAAGGACTTCCTGGGTGTAACTGCAGCAATGGTAGTGTAGATACAATAGTATCTGGCTCTGCTGTGGAGTAGCCTCCTCACCCTTACCATTTACTGTCCTTTCCTTCCTCTATCTCCCAGAAAGAACTAAAAAACACCATTCCTGTAATCCAGCTGTGCACTAAATGAGATAACTTCTGTTTCCACCCTCTGTTCCTGAGAATCATTCTAACATTGTTGTTTCTGCTTGATTTCAAGAGATGTGAGCTGTGTCCTCACAAAGATGGAGCCCTAAAACGGACTGACAATGGAGGTAAGCACCCCTGCCTAGAGCAAGCAGCCTGTTCACTCGTGACTTGCTTGCTAGGATTACAGCAGCAGCTGTTCCAGAGTAATGGTAAAGGGCACAGAAATTACTGTATCCATTGTCCAAGGCAATGGCTGGTCCTCCAGAAGAACAAGAGAGACTTCTTCCCTTTCCCACAACACCTCATCTTGTATTATTTTTTAAGTGTAATTCTGTTGCCTAGATATTTCTTTTCTTAACCTCAGGCTGGTATTGAACCTTAAGCATGAGGGTCGCTTTCATAAGCTTTGTCCTAGCTGCTGTCACTGGAGAGGCTGCTATTGTTCATATAAATAAATACACAACTTATTAAGCTATTCTTTTGCATGGTGTGATGATGAGTTCCAAAATACAAGGTCTCAGCATTGTACGGGAGAGAAGGGCTGTCCAGTAGAGTTAAGAGGGGAGTTTATTCTCTGCAAGCTATTTAGTCCTCACTTTCTGTCCTGAGACTTCTGGCAAGGTAGCCAGCTGATGGTGAGACAGGAAGATCTCTATGGATAGGAAAGGATCATAGGAAAGAAAGCAGGGGTGGATAGAGACCTGGCTAGTAATATTGGAGATGTGGGGCTCTGTTCTTAGCTCTACTATTGGGCTACTGCATGACGTTGGGCACTTAGTTCCTCCACCTATAAAATGGGGAAGATGACCTTTGTAAAGCTGTTTGAGATAAGATATCCTTTGTAAAGTAGTTGAATAATATCTGGATATTATTAGTGGCTGTTCTGATGGTGGTCCAACCTGGACACTTGTCCTGTAGGAACTGGACTGAGATCCTGCAACTCATAAACATCTCTAGAACACATTGTCTACATCTCAGTGCCCTTTGAACTGCCACTTCAGAGTCTCCTGGGGAAATTCACTGCCCTGAGCTTTGGGCTGCAGAAGCCATAAGAAAATCAAGGCTGGGAAAAGGCAACGACAATAACAAAGGAACAGAAACCAAACAAACAGCTGTTCATTCTGACAGCAGAGGCATCTGGCATGAGGGTCAGTACCAGTCCCAGAGCTGACCTGTCCAAAGCATGGGGAGGGTAGTTCTTGCCCCAGACACAGCTAGTCCTCAACAAACTGGATTAACAGTGATAGCTCTGGCTCATGCAAATCAGGAAGGTTGGGTAGTGCCTGCGCTGGTCTTTGTAAACCTCAGAGAAAAAGAGAAGCCAAGAGCTCTGCACCAGAAAAAGCTGTTTCACTCTACTGCATTTTTCTCCCCTCTCACCAGCTCTTGCTGCCTTGCAGCTTGGTTTTAGTTACCACAGCTTGCACTCAGTAGTGTAATCAGTTCTGCAGTTTGATCACCAACTTTCCAAAACTTCTTTATTTTATTGCAGTGCTCATGTGCTTTCATCCATTGCACAGTCCTTCACTCACCCCAACATATGTGGAGTCAGGTCAAAGTGGGGGAGCTTTGCTTTAATGTGTTTCCAGTTTAGAAAGGAAGCTCATGAGAGCCCCTGAGCTGCAGAGAAAGGACACTACAGGTTGTGGGACACCAATTAGAGCTGGTTAAAACTAACTGCTCTGCCACAATGCTAAGGGCTTGACTGCAACAGCCAGAGTTCTATGTTGGGGGATCTTATTGTAATAACATTTCATAGATTTCATAGACATTAGGGTTGGAAGGT